GGCTCCCCGCTTATGCAAATGAAGCCCAGGAAATTCAAATCCCGGGCTTCATTTGCAATGAGGGTATGTCTACACTACCCTCCTAGTTCGAACTAGGAGGGTAGTGTAGACATACCCTCATAAATCCAGCATTTAAGTGTTAACACAGTTTGTGACTCCACAACAACCAGATTGGTTACAAATGGGCAAAATACCATTGTAACAGTTGAATATCTAGCAGGCCTAAGCAAACTGAGTGAACTGTATTTGCATGCACAACGTCCAGAATCTCATTATTTAAACTGAGAGTTTATGCCAGGTTAAGCACAGACTTTCATCTTTTGCATTCTCCCAATAACTGCAGACATTGCAATTAGTATTAACACAGTTTGTGGCTCAACACCAGCCAACTTGATTACAATGAGCAAAGCCCCATCATAACAACTGAATATCTAACACATCTAAGCAAAACAGGGGCAAACTATTTACATAAAACACACCCAGGATTCCTTTCCCATTCCATCTGGCAGTAATGGAAGCATTGATTCAAACCCTACTTACACTTGCATGGCTGCCTGTGACATGGTCTTAGACAGAATTCACCATCAAGAAATCCATTGTACTCCCTGATGCATTATGGCAAGTTTTGTGGGGACAGATGAATTAAAGATGACATGTGTTCCCTCTGTCGGAGTGATGTTGCCAACATTCTGACACAAGACAGAATAATTGGTGTGCTTTTGGTGGACAATATCAGAGCAACGGTTGATCCACCCAACTGCATTTTATGGAAGAGTCCCATTATTCAGTGCACCTGTACTGTGGCACCACATCACAAATGTTACAAGAACCCTCAGAGTATCCTAAGAAAAAAAAAAGAGAAAGATTTGGGGACTCCTGAACCATAGAATGTGTTCAGAAAAGAGATCCATCGTTTCTAGAAATACACCATGATTTAATGTGGCTGAACAGATTTCTGTTAAATTCAGCATTCTCATTCAAGCCCAAGTTTCTCATCCTCACCCTCAAGGTCTTTTCCAGATCTACACATCTACTCTTGTCTCTCTTCATTGCAGAGAGACTACATGAGTGCTTACAGTAAAGCACGTGCTTAAGGGTACGTCTACACTAGCTCATTAGTTGGAGCTAGGTAGGGTAATTAGGGCCAGTGGATGCACAAACATCAGATCCCATTTCCCAAACCAAACTTTACCCTACTTACAGAAAGAGTCTATTCTTGGAGGGAGACAGTCTGTCAGGGTATGTCTACAGTGCCACCCTAGTTCGAACTAGGGTGGCTAATGTAGGCAATCGAAGTTGCACGAGGAGTAACGGTAGTTCGAATTATAAATATATTATTATTGCCCCCCGGATTAGAAGAAAGGATTTCCATTCATTCTCTCCTCTCCACTGACTCTGGGCAATTTTTTATTGGGCACAGATAGTGATGGGTGGGTGGGGTTTGAACATGTGCTAGGTAATACACAATAGCAGGAGAAGAGATGGTCCCTGCCTAGAGATGTTACACAAGCTGAATACAATTAGGCACAAGAGAGCAACAAATACACAAAGAGATAATTTACACATCCTATGCCTCAGTTTCCCAATTTGTAAAACTGTATATGGTTAAGATCTGTTTCCAAGCTTCACAGGGATCTTTGGAATTTCATCTCATTAGTGACCACAGAACATTTTGAGGTAACCAGCTCAAAGTCCGTCATCCTTATTTTAGCCTAACTCAGGGCCTGGATGAATACAAAGAACTGTTATTATAGGCTACTGTCATTTTAAAATATTAAACCATCTGTGTATGTCGGGACTGTTGGTAATTAAATTAAATGTTGACAAATGTCAAGTCATCAATATTAGGTTTTAGAGTAATAAACAAGATTTAAAAAATTAATAAAATTGATCCACTGTTAAAGGACCTTGAAGGGAAATTTGAGGAAAGATTTATTTCACTAGAGGTATGCTGAAAAGGCCGGAATAAAAAAAAAATCAATGGAATGGTAGAATGAACAGCTGGAGCATTAAACCATAATATTTAAGGAGGATGAAGCTCCACTATGCCCTTACATGTCCTTGCTTGAATGACATCACCTCCAATATTTCTGTTTGGGTAATTCTGTTGCTTGTGGGAAATGTTGCCTTTTTTTTTTTTAATCAAAAAAATTCACCCTTATTCCGCAAGAGAGCTGATGCTATTTCGATACTAATGTGGACCAACAATAAAGCCCAAACCAATGTTCAAGGTTCAGTGCGATGGATTATGAACTGAAAGCAGAATGAAAAGGGAAGTGCAAAAGTAGGAGAGTCCCAAACTCTTTGTACTGGGGAAACACACCACAAAGTCATCCTGCTGTAAGCATAAGCATTTTCATGAAGAATGAACATAACA